AAGTAAAACCAAAAAGGCAATCTTAAATAATACAGTCTGGGTTCTTCCTTGACCATCTCACCTACATATCTTCCCTCAGAGCTTTCCTCTAGGTCTTGAGGTCATATTTAAAAACATCCAGTGCAGGATGCAGTGATTGTTGAGTAACTTTTAATTAATTACACCTTAGAACAGATTCGTTCCTCATTGCCCGTTAGTGCAATGACTATGGGTGCTTTCCTCTCTGTTCCATATTGAGTAAGTTATCTTAACCTATGAGGTGTGCAAACTATTGACCATAGCATTGAGAATGAGCAACTTTAAAACAATTCCAGGTGATACAAAACAATGAATACCATTTATTTATCAACTTTAAAATCTCTTTGTCTTGTGCTTGCTCCATGTCGTGGGCTCTACGGTGTGCAGTACTTGATGTCACAGAGCTGTCAACAAGCTACTGACAAGCTGTTGATGACACTACGGAATAATCTGTCAGTTGTGTGTAATTTCTTGCAGGTAGTATTTCCAGCAACAAGGAACAAAGCATATGCCTTTGAAGTTTACAGATATGAAATGTTTTCTAGCTTTTTAACTTGCAGAATCCTTACTCCAAATACGAATTACAGGAATACTAAAAGACAAAACTGGAAGAGTTGGATAACAAAAATAAAGTAATATTTCCACCCTGGGCTAGCTTACATTTTTCAATAAGCTGTCTTTAGTGAGCTGTGGAAATGAGTTCAGTCCAATGAGGTGGGGACTCTTTCAATTGGTGGAGCAACTGATATTGCAGAAGTTCAGTGTTGACAGATAGCTTGGGGAGAGAGAATCTCCCTCAGTTCTTGACTTCTGCCCCAAAGGGGGGAGTTCAGATTCTGTGTTCTTCTCATTTACCTGATGTCAGTACATCAGGTAAATTTCCTTAGTCATCTGCTACAACCAAATAGTGAGTTATACCATTATTGCTTGTTTCAGGATAATGTTATGCCAACACACCAACATTAAGACTGGTTTATTAACACAAAGATTTTTTTCCTCACCCTAAATTCTATTTCACAGAGTTCATTCAGAAAACAGCAACAGATAATTCTAGCCTCAGAATCTTGTTTTAAAAATTGCTTTTGAAACATGATATCACCTTTATAGATGTGTGCTTTTCTTTTGCTCTGTGATGACTGGCTTTTAGGAACTATTCACTTCCCTGTTGTGTCTTAGAATTTTTGCCTGGAATGCGAGGAAACAGGCAGGTGATGGGCTATCAATATCAAGGCCCATCCAGCCAATGTGAAGACTATCACTGAGGAAATGATCAACAGTAATGATGAAGCTCTACTTTTCTCTCTCTCTACTGCAGCTGTAGAAAAAAATCCTCCCAGGGATTCAGGAGTCCTGTGACCAGCCTGGCACAAAGAGCCAGAGAAGCAATTGAAATCCTGCCATATCTTATTGCTACTTGAACATCAAATAAAATAATATTTGTAAAAATACTTTAGGAATTATGCTGATTTGAAAATACTGTGGTTTGTATCCAGAGAGTACTGAAGCAAGCTATCAGTCCTCTGATTTGTACGGTGACTATAGACTCTAGTAAGGCTGGTAAGACACATCTTTTTTTTTTTTTGGTTAAGGGGACAACCCCAGAGAAAGACTGTAGTAGGGACAGGCTTCGTACTTAATTGTGGAAAGTGGTAAAAATTTTCCTGGGCTTATCAGAGGGTAGATGATCAAATAATTATAGAATGAATTCCAGTAACAATTTTATTCTATAAATAATAAAGACATACTCATTCAATTTACAAATTGTGAAACTTCCATAAACCAGGAAGGTTTACATGCATTATATTTATCAGCATGAAATGTAACTCTAAGCAAAATCCATAGGATAGGTTGAAAGGACAACTTTTCTAAAGGAAAGATCTATAGTGAAGTGCTCTGATCTTTCACGGTGGGTGTATGCCTGGACTTAGCTCCACAATTAAGGAGACATGATGTAGACTTCCTGCACATCAGCAAGGTACAAGCCGCCGTGAGTTTTGCTGGAAGAAAATGTCTATGTGTGTAGCAATAATAATAATGTAAGGGGGAAAAAGATTGCAGAATGAAAGGACAGAGTTTCCTGTTTGTTATTTTTCAAAATAATGACTGTGGGTTCTCTCCCCACAGAAAAGATGCTATTTATTTTTTAATGATGAGCTGTTTCTCAGAGAAACAAAGTAGCATTCTGTCGACACCATATGGTGGTGGAAAAACAGATTCTACCGCCTTCCATTTGTTAGACTGTCTTCTGCATTTCTGTATCCATAATTTATGTGGGGGCCTCTGTGATTGCCAAAATATTCAAATGGATTTCTCTGAGTGGGGCTGCCTGCATGGGGGGAGAAAGGTTTTCAAAACAGCAGGATCTGAACAGTGTCCTGCTGCTCTGGGAAGAGAACACTTCCAAGCTTCTGTCCTTCTGGCGGCTTTCATTGTAATACTAATTTACATCCTCGGTTTAGGGACCATGTTTGCATTCAGAAAAAGCAACTTATGTTCTTTTATGGTAATACAATCATACTTGAATTCTAATCCACACCCTTATTAAAGTCATATTACTCCCCTGCCTTGGTGTAAGCAGAGAACCTGGCCTTTAAGAAATTGATGAAAGCCAATACACTGTGCAGGCCGAATGACACCATTTTGAACACATTGATTCTGCAGCTGGTTCCCAGAGAAACATCTGAAGTGGTTATAGATACATTAAAAATAGTCATGAAATGCTTCCTTTGCTGTCTAAGCACATGATTACCATCTATGTATTCAGGGGTGGTTTTCAGTGGAACTTGGAGTGGTTGTGCTCTGGTGTATAAATAGAAGCATGTCAAATACATGATACAGAATATAAAGAGGGGATTTGATGAATCAGACTAACTGATGTTTTGGCAAAGTAGAACATCTCAATAAAGTTACATGTTCACACAGTCACCCAGTTAACAAGAATCTGAAACATAAGCATTCTATTACAATTAATTACCTTTATTCCTGAGAGCTTCAGATGCTCTTTCAATAAGCTTGGCCATTGCATGTTTTATTGTAGTGTACCAGGGAGACATGTGTTATTGTAGTGCATCAGGGAAACATTAAATAATTTCATATGGAAAAAGAAAACAGATGTGATGTTATCGCTTAATTACCTTCAGTGGAAGGTATAGCAATCCTTCAATACTACTAGAAGGTTCTTTCCTCAACTTGCACTAGAATGGCTAAAGGTTTAGGCTACCTAAAGAGATAGACCATTATTTGCTGCCCATGAGTATAAATAAAGGGCTATGGATTCAAATTATAATGAAAAAAAAAAAGACCTAGTGACCTTAAATGAGTCCCATTTCTTTAAAACCAACTTGTAGGCATCTTGATTTCTCTTCTGGATCAGGAAGAGAGAGATGTTCCTCAGCTCCTGGTGCTTTTTCTTGCTGCAAAATACAATTTCAGTGGACCTAAGGTGTTGGTCTTTCTGGTGTAAGTATCCTAAAAGCTTGAGAGCTTTCTAAGGGAGGCCCACAAAATAGTAGACTTCAGAGAACAATCTCACGGTAGTTCATGAAGACTGAGTCATTATTGGATTATCCACTATATTTTAAATGTTATTACTTCCTGGAGATGGATCAGTCTATCAAAAGCAGGGTTAATAGTAGTCTCAACTGGTTTGCTCCGTTACTCAGTGTCCAGTCACTTTGATCTGGCTCTACATCTGGGTGCATTAGATGATAAAACACTGATTAATTTCTCAAAATTCCAAAATTCTTGATTTGTGCAATGTTAATACCTGACAATAAAGATGTATCTAAGAGGCTCGGTTCTCCCAGAAAAGCTTGTTGGAGAGGAAGGATCTTACTTGAGTCCTACTCTATTGTTAGAACTCAAATCTCATACTTTTCCCTTTTTCAATTAAAAAGTTATACATTCAATTAGACTACATCTGTGAACCTGTTTTAACAGTAATTAAGATGAACATTATGATATGGGTAATAAAAAGTAATAGTTTCCTTCAATCTCTTGGGTTTTTGAAATACATTTTCTCAATGGAAATCAAATTATTTTATAGCATAGAAGTGATTTCTTTCTATTCAATAGGTGAAATGATCCATGGGCTGTTGCTTGTACAACTAAGGCAGAATCATTAAGAATAAAGTTTAGTAAATAAAGTTACTGGGTGACTGCTTTTGCACAAAAGCTTGGATCTATATTAAATTAACAGGAAATAGGTCTCGAGTTTTCTCTAACTAACCTATTCTCAGTGGAGAAAAGAAATGAAGTGGCCTTATTCAAGGACATCCATTTGAAATCCATAAATATTTTATAAGAATAGAATAAATTGCTTATTTTCAAACAGGTGCTATTGCAAAAATTATTTTGATTTTTTCTTTTGCCTTGGGGCTCTTGAACAAAATAACAATATATCATGTACATGGTACTTAGACATTAGGTTATGTCTGTGTTTTCCATAATTGGCTCAGGCAGAGGGAGGCTCACACTTAGGGTTCCTCTGCAATCTCCCCAGTCTTTTCCCATAAGGAAAATCGTGCCTTAAATAGGACCTGCATCTCATTGCTCATTCTGAAAATTGTCAACTGAAATGGTATCATTTCCTTCAAGATAATGACAATAGATTGAAATGTATTCTGCCAACTTATTTGATACATAATTTCCACCTCCATCAACACCTTCAACTGTTCCCTGTATTTTATGTGCATGTTTTGCATTTCAACAGTTGTAACAACAGTCTGTTAGGAAAATAATTTTTTTTTATATTTATTTGTGATTTTGAACTCATTTCTGTTTTGTATGTTAGGTTTCCATAAAAAATTTGTACATTATGCAAGTTGAAGATGGAGAAATTTGCTTTTTTAAAGTAATGATGTAAGAAAATATGGTGCCATAACCCTATGACCAATTCACTTCCACTTGTATCTCTGGGTGATAGGGGAGCCTGGGTTGAGACTTCCATATTTTAATCCTTTGTCTTATGAACACCAGTGGTACCAATCAGGGAAATAAGCAGCAAGCCAAGGTCAGGAATCAGTGAGTATCCAAAGACTTAATTCCTTACAAAAGGAGTGTAATGAGGTTGTTAAGACAAAATTTAAATCTTTTCTTTTCCCTTTTGGCCATGACCAGGTAGTCAGTAATTGGGAAATAAACTGTAAACTATATCAAATTCTGTGAATATAGAAATCTCAGAAAATAAAACGTGTTCTTTTCCAGGGAAAGTTGCCACTCTGAGAAAGCAAATGAATAGAAATGAAGATAATTCCCTACATAAAATGATAACTATCAAAATAAAACTGCCCTAGGGATATATGCCATCACTACTGTCTCAGTTCCTGTCCTCTTTTAAGAGGATGTGCCCTTGAGTGAACCATGGTGCTCTACTGGCTCCAGAGAAATGAATGCATAAGCCAGGATGATCCAGTTAGATTTCTCCTTTTGAAATTTTTAACTCAGAGACACAAAATATACTTGCACATATGTGGATGAATTGATAACACAGCATAAGAATCAAGGTTTGAGAATTGCTACTGTGGTTCCTGAGGCTTCTAGTCCTTCCAGACGTGTACAGATGGCTCCAGTTGTAGAATGTACTATTGGGCCAGCTTCTATCTCTCTGTTCAAGTCCTAGGCCCCCACTGTAATTCCTCCTACTAAAAAAGCAGAATGTATATCCTTTCCACTTGACACTGGGTTTGGCTACTGAAATTGGTTTGGCCAGTTGGATGCAGTAGAACTAACCATGTGCCAGGTTTGAGTTCAGGCTTTCTATGACTTGGATGTTATTTTTCCCCTAGAAGTTTATGTGTTGGAAATTTGGTCTGAAATGTGGTGCTGTCGAAGTGATAGAACCCTTAAGAGACAGAGCTAAGTGAGAGAGAGTTATGGATTCTTTTTCCATTTGTTGGCATTCTATTTGGAGATGTGATCATACTCTCTCATATGCATGTTCCTTCCTTTGGGATGTCAGCTGCTTTGGAAACTTCATCAGGGCTGAGATTTACTGATGCTCACACTATACACTTGAATCTACAGAAGTGTGAACTAAGTAAATCTCTTTTCCTTACAAATTAGCCTACCTCAAGTATTTCATTATAGTAACAGAAAATGGGCTATCCTTAGGCTTTAACGTTAGCCTTGAACATTTCCATTCACTATTTTGTACCTCTATGATAGCAATAAGAAGAGCTACATGCCCCAGTTAGTCTTCTGGTTTAAGGAATGAGAAAGACATATGGAACAAAATTATCACAACAAACTGACATACTGTAGTGAGAAATGCTCACCACCATCACTGTAGCTTGAAGGAGAGCTGCCTGGCTGATCCCAGCTTAGACCAACCAAGTTCCACCATACACACAGACTCATAAATATAATAATGCCTATTTTAAGCCACTGAGTTTTCTTTTTGTGCTTGATATG